CCTTGACATTTTGCACGGATAGTAGTGACATAATTTCTCAACAATCGTAAAAATAATTCGTAAAATAATCGAACATATCTCTAAAATCGGAAAGGGTGATTTCTACCCTTAAATTAATTTTTCCATACCCTACTTGTATGTCAAGTTTCAAGAAAATCGCCGTATGGCACTTCCCTAGTGTTACTTGAAAGTATACAGGGTGATTCTCAACCTATACACATAAACTCGAGGATTTATTCATTGTTAGTAAAAGTTTTTTAGTTTCTCTAAATCTAAATAATGTGTTTCCTGGAAAATGAATAGGTCGAGATGGTCCAATGACCTGGCTACCGTGATCGCCCAGCCTCAACCCTCTTGATTTTTACTTGTCGGGTCACTTAAAAAGCAAAGTGTACGTAACGGAAGTTAATACTGAGCCAATATTGCAAAATCATTTACATGCTGCTGCCCAGATAATTCGCCAACACCCTGGTTTAGACCGTGCTAGTGGGAGATTGTGGATTCCGGGAGGCCAATTGATAGAAAATATGGGAAATCACTTCGAACACTTGCTGTGATGTTATTTTAAAATGTTCTATGTATTCTAAATATCACGGATATCTATGAAACAAAAAATCTTTTACTACAAATTTTTTTGCCTATTAGTCATTATTCGTCGTGAGTAGTAAATCTCCAAGTTTATGCGTATAGGTTGAGAATCATCCTGTATTTATATAAAATAATAATAATATAAAAATACACTTTTGGTTCGTATTTACGCGCAAATCGATAATCAGAACAGTCTATAGCACGATATCAGAAAAAGTAAGCTTCCTCCCCTTTCATAGTATGCAGTCGGTAGACAAGAACTATGTCTACAAACTTGTTTTTATCTATGTCTGCGTTTTTTTTACGTTACAAACCACTCGCCAGAGATTCACATAGCCAGCCCACATGTTTTTTTCATTAACCAATCATCGCTCGTGAGATCCGGGAAGTAAAATATATTCCAAAATATTAAAATTTAATGTAAAACCGTAAATTACTAATTACGGGTTTATTATTAATATTTCGTAAAAGTGCTACAGGAATAATGTTTCTATTTTATTGTTTTACATCCGGGCCAAGAAGAAAAATCGTAAAAATCTTACTATTTTCAAAAATAAAGCAATATTTTTCTTCAAATTTCATTTTCTGTTCTTGTCCCGGATTCATAACTATTGTAGAAACATGACAAATGATAAATTAATCCAATCCATTAATAAATAAGGAAGTAATTCGAAATCTACGGTGACAGACTCGGTTAAGGAGCCTTAATAAAATAATCTTGCGAGGAAAGGCACCTAGATACATAAGTAATTGGGGCCGAGGAGCAGAAATGTCTTGATTGTTTCAAATTAATATATATAATCTCATAGTTTCTATACTCAGCCTGATCCCTTGAATCCAGTATGTATTTAGTCTACCTCTCCTCATTTGGAAAAGATACTTTACATGCTCTTCTTACAAAATCCATACTATTCATCCTATTGGGGTTGTCTACTATGTCTTAGCTACTCTAAAACTCTGAGAAATAACCACAGGTTACCTCAGCATACCAGTAAATCTTACGTTCTTTAACTCATTAATTAACTCCGGGAAAAGCACGGCGTGCAAGGGTGTACGTTTTGTAGCAAACAGAAGAGGGTGTTAACGAATTTCAAAACTGGAACCTATTTGCTAAGGGAATATATACCCCAAGAAAATTCTGGTCCTCCAGGTTGGGTGTAGAGTTCTTGCGTTAGTGTCACGTAAAAAATTCAGATATGCTAAACAATTCAGAAAATCGATTCGGAATAGGGATGGATTTAACGTTTCAAATTAATATGATGTTAATTGTAGAGTCTCGGCAATTAAGTCCAGCGCGTGTTCTTCAATATTGTATTAATTGTAGTCCCTCGGCCGCAAGGGACATTGACTTAATAATTAGTAACATTCGGATTTAGCCGCACGTCTTTCAAGAACTCTAATTGTTATTCAACACTAGATTATTATATACCTTTTTTGAACTAATAGTAAAACTAATACTAGAGTTGTAACTAGAAAGATTCGTGTTTATCTATCTTAATAATCAAGGAATAAATGTCATGTAATTGCACATGTGGATAATTAATTTAATGACATTCGTTTTATCTTATAATTATTTAATCTTTGATATTTAAAAGAAATAATTGTCAATGTAACGCGAATAAGGTTAAGAAAACATTTTTTATTAACACACTCAAATTTTATGGTCAGCAAACACTCAATCTTTATTAAGTACATAATAAGAACCTATTAAATAATAAAACCTTGACGAAAAATTTTGGTGCGAATTTACCGAATTAATTACAAATTTATTACGAATTTCACCTTTAACCTACGACTTGGTGTTGTGGTTGGCTTTCGATATGTTAATAAGCCTCACTTAACTCATTGCGAAACGTGAGTAAACGAATAAAGTAGTGAGATGAGGGTTTTTTCTTCGGTGACATCACATTTTAGAAGATTGAATGTCAATTTTTTTAAAAATTATATTTGGAATAAAGTTGAATGAAAAATTGAACATACATTTTAATTATAACTTTAAAAACACGATAGATGCGAATTCGTATTCAAAGCGAAATTGAAATAGATGACTTTTTTAATGGGAAATAAAATGGTTAAAACGTTTTAACCAATTTTAGTATTTGTTACGTAACCGCGGGATTACTTTAATCTTATTGACATTTATAAATATGGAGAAATGTACTAAAAAGGAAAACTCTCAATTAACTCTACGCAACAATAAAAGAAACTTCTTCATTCATAACTTTCTCTCTCGCGTTATTTTTTTACTCTTATCCCAAAAATTTAATTAAGATAAAAATCTTCATATTAACTTGAAATATCGAGGTAAAAAATCCAATTTAAATTTCATCTTTACGAGTATCTCTGCTTAAAATTACGATGGAATCATCTTAGTAATAATTTTGAATAAAATAAATTTCTTACCGCCCCAAAATGTACACTGTGACAAAGTAATTCATTTATAAAACACGTTTTTACCCCCGAAAACGAGGTGGATATTCCATCTAGCCACTAACCGAGTAACACATCGTTACACAACCCCGCGTTACTTTTTTTTTTCACACGAGTTTTGCTCCATTACTTTCCGCCCCCAACTTTCATCCTCTTTCCACCACACCCTTAACAAGGTGGAGGGCTCCAAGCCACCACTCCACTTTTTGCCTATTATAATCTCGCCGTTTGCTTTCTACATCTTTATTTAAAAAAAATTTGAGAAATATTATATTTCCGTGTATAATGAATACTTTGTAAAAAAGTTTATGAAGATACCTAAAACGCAAAGTTGGTGCTCTTCCATGTTATATATTGCTTTATGCGTATTGGAAAATGTAAATCGAACGTTTGATCTGTACCCTCGAGGAGGGATAGAAAATTGAGAGAACAAAGAGGGCAAAAGGAATTTCCATCGATTTTGAAATGGGATGTTTTTAAAGTTTCTTTACACTGAGATGGGGAAGAGTTGCATCACTTTCGTTGATTAATCGGAAATTTTAATAAAATTATTCTTAAATATTGTTGTAGATAATTAAAAAATATGGAAAATGAGTCCAAACTCGATATATCTAGGTGTTATAACACCCAAGGTATCTTTCTTTTTACAAAATCAAGATGGCCGAAAACAAAACAAAAATTAGTGATGTCATTAATGTGTTTAGAATGGATTTTATGATAAAAATTATAAAAATTTTCTGATCATTTCACAAATTTTGGATTTTTTTGGTTATAATTTGGAGGTATTTTCGTTAAGCGTGCTATATGAGACCAAATTCGCTATAAATAATGATTATATCCAAGATATATTGATTTTTATAAAATCAAAATGGCATTTGCAAAATCCAAGATGGCAGAAAATAATCGATTCCTAAATATTGTTGTAGATAATTAAAAGACGCGTAAGATGAGTCCAAACTCGACGTATCTAAACGTTATAGCACCAAAGATATCTTTGTTTTTATAAATTCAAGATGGCCGAAAACAAAACACTAAGTAATTACGGCATTTATGTTTTTAAAATGAATTTTATAATGTGACATATCAAATTAGTTTAAAATTTACTGATTATTTCAAAAATTGTTGGTTTTTTTGATGAATTTGAATATTTTTGATTTTTTTTGACAGTTTTTTTTTATTAAATTGATTATGATTTGGATCATTTATTATCAAGGGCGTTAAATAAATCCAACCTCAACAAAATTTATAATCATAACCAGGAGGTTTTAATTTTTATAAAATCAAGATGACATTTTTCAAAATCCAAGATGGCGGAAAAGAAATGATTCAGGAATATTATTGTAGATAATTAAACAATATGGAAAATGAGTCCAAACTCGGTATATCTAAATGTTATAGCACCAAAGATATCTTTGTTTTTATAAATTCAAGATGGCCGAAAACAAAACACTAATTACGTCATTTATGTTTTTAAAATGAATTTTGTGATAAATACGGGGTGTGATACATCAAATTAGGTTAAAATTTACTGATTATTTCAAAAAAGATGAATTTGAGTATTTTTAATTTTTTTTTAACAGTTAACTGGTTAAAACTAGAACTAACATTGAAACTAATTTCTTTTAAATATCAAAGATTCAATAATAATAAGACAAAACGATTATAATGTCATTAAGTCATCCACGTGCGCAATTACATGACATTTACTCCTCGACTATTATATTATAGATATTTCATTGAATTCGATTTCAATAACGAACAACCCGTTAAATTTCGCATCATCGTAAACAATTCCTATCAATCAACAATAAAGCTCCGCACACTTACGTCACGGTATTCTATGCATGTTTAATTACGACGAATTCAACGACTAAATACAACAAAAAAACATCCATTTGACATTCCCCTCCTTATCCATCATCACTCACCTTCTCGTATACGCCGCGATGATGCAATTCATTAATATTTGGTATATAAAAGACGCGGTGTGTAATGACTTAAACAGTTATCGACTTAAACATCTCGACGACATTAACTCTTCATCGAAGAATAAATCAAGATGTATTTCGTGGTTTTGTTCGCTTTAATTGGTGCGTGCGTTGCTGCGCCAGCTCCGGAAGAAGCGGTTCCTATTGTGTCTCAATCTAGTGATGTACAACCCGACGGTTCTTACAATTTTAGGTAAGTTGGAAATTATTAATTAAAATTTTTATAAATCGTGAAATATTAGTTATCAAACCGGTGATGGCACCGCCGTTGAACAACACGGTTCAGTAAGAAAAATTGAAAACGAAGACTCCATTGTGGCCGAAGGAAAATATTCTTACAAAGGCCCAGACGGTGTTGAGTACGTTGTGACATACACAGCCGATGAAAATGGATTCAAACCGAGCGGAGATCATATTCCAGCTGTGCCAGCAGCTATCGCTAGAGCTTTAGAATACATCGCCGCTCACCCCGAGGAAAATGAACCCAAGAAGGCTTAAAAGATTATATCATAAATTCGATTTGTATATATTTTTGTAATAAAAGAATTGATTGAAATACTTTTTGTTTAAATTTCATTTCCAATCAAGTTTTGTGGTTTCGATTTCTTTATATAGAGCTACTGTTCCGTAAAAGTTGAAATGTAAGCGGAGGGTTAGGAATTCTTCGTGGTGGTAAAGAAGGGCAAAGCAGGTCGATTTCGGTGAAAAAGGCGGATGGCGACAGGGCTTCTTATCTGGTATGCGAATTGCCCCGAGTAGAATGGTGGTCGCGCGGTAATAAAATCACAGTCCGTCAGTCTCTAGGGTGGCATAAGCTTTCCGGATTTATTTTCGTCTCCCGATCGCGTCGCGCGGGTTTTCGCCTTTTCCTTTGAAAATCGGAGACCCCTCCCGGCAACACACTGTCCTTCGAGTCCCTTCTAGGTCCTTGGGGATACGTCACGATCAACCGTTCGGGTTCAATTTGATAACGCACGGAATTCGGGTTAAGCTATTGATTAAGTTCGAAACTACATAATATGCATATATAAAATAAATTATTAAATGATGTTAGGATATTTCCTCATTTCTTGCGAAAAATAGTCAAATCCAAAGCAAGACAATCTTAAAATAAGGCAATTCAACTCTGCATCAAGGATAATTAATTGAGTCAGGTTGGTTTGGGAATCTAATTCAGTATAAAGGAAGCCAACCCAACCTCAAACAAACTCAACCAAAGTAAAGAAACTCAACCCCAAAACATCACAAATCCATTTTAAAGCAAGACAAAAACTTTAAAATGAGCAAATTTAATCCTGCAGCTATACAATTGGTTGGGTTGGGATTGGGTTGAGTTGCTTTGGGGACCAAATTCAGTACAAAAGAAGGTTTACCAACTCAACTCAAAACAGACTCAGCTAAGAAGTGATTCTCTTCCAAAGCAAGTCAACCCAAAAGCAACCTAATTCTGCTCCAAAATAAGCCCACCCAAACCGTAACAAATTCAGACAAAAAGGAATTCAACCGCAAAGCAACCCACTCCTAAATCAACTCAATTCTACTCCTAAGCAAGTCAACTTTAAAGTAAGAAAAGTCAACCTCAAAACGAGCCAATTTCACAAAATCATAAATTTGAGAAAGGTTGAGTTGAGTTCTTTTGAGAATTCTTCCATTAAATTCTTGATTGACATATTTAATAACTCCAAGGCATTCTTTCTTCACTTTTATTCTCTACTCAGAATCCTAAGTCACTGACAACCGAAAAAGCTATTCTATGGGGATAAGGTGCAGAATAGAGAAAGCAAAAGTCACAACTTTCGATATCAATATCAGACATCTCAGACGTTATGTTTTCTCGGTGCTTTCTACGCAGAGGAATAGTGGACACTAACCATGGAGTTATACAACCTACAAAACGTTGATATGGATTAATTGGCAAAAACAATGGAAACAAAGCAACACCATCCAAATTTTTAGCACGTTAAGTTTCTTAGGTTGTATATCGGGCGTACCTAATTATCATAAGATTATGCAGGGTGATTTATTAACTCACCATCAAACTTTGACATATGATAGCTAATCCAATTACCAAAAAGAAATGTTAATGAACATATGTCCTATTTTAATAATTACAAAATAATAACACTATAAAGTTGCAAAATTTTTATATCATAATTAACTTGGATTTAACACATCCGTAGAGACATGCGGCTAAACCCGAATCTTTCTAGTTTTAGGTCTAATGTTAGTTCTAGTGACAGGGGTAGGTAGCGCTAGTTAGCATAAGATAATCATTATGTTGCATATTTTTATTGCACTAAAACTAGAACTAACACTAGACCTAGAACTAGAAACATTCGGGTTTAGACTAAGATACTTTCTAGTTCTAGGTTTAGTGTTAGTTCTAGTTTTACACCAGCACTATCACTAGAACTAACACAAGACCTAGAACTAAAATCATTCGGGTTTAGCCGTCTTGAGAGACGTGCGGCTAAACCCGAATGTTTCTAGTTCTAGTTTAATTGTTATTCAGTGCTAGATTGTTGTATGTTTTTATTGAGCTAAAACTACAACTAACACTAGATCCAGAACTAGAATCATTCGGGTTTAGCCGTACGTCTCTTAAGACGGCTAATCCCGAATGATTCTAGTTCTAGGTCTAGTGTTGGTTCTAATGTTAGTGTTATTTCTAGTTTTAACATTAGGTCTGAAAGTAGAAAGTTTCGTGTTTAGCCACTATACAGGGTGAGTAAAAAAAATGTTAATGAATTCAACCAGACATTCTAATTCGTTTGAAGAATTTTTTAATTCGTCGTTGTGAAGCATATATTCTAGCAGAAGGAGGCTATTTTAAACAATATTTGTTAAAATTATCAGTTAATTAGGATATAAAAATTAAAACTTTAAAGTGTTATAATTTCGTAAATAATTGAAATAGGACATGTTTATTAAAATTTTTTTTTCGTAGTTGGATTAGCTATCATATGTCAAAGTTTGATGGCGAGCTAATAAATCACCCTGTATATTAAGTTATGACGGGTAAGGAGTTCTTACATAACCTCATAAAATACTAAGCAATGTGATTTTTGCCCAGCATTTTGCGAATTCAAGTAATCGCGGATAAAATGATTAATTAAATGTACATACCTTTTGGTGGCGGACTGAAACAAAGTTATTTGATCCTTCGCTTTGTGGATAAAGGTCGCTATGTTGTAGGATCTCCCAATGGTATCTCTCCATACAGCTTGGTTAAAGTATGACGAAAAATCATTTCCGAATTTTTCACAAATCTATAAAGAGAAATAATTGAATTTAACTAAAATTTAATCGCAATATTTAATTAAAATATTATTGTAGTATTTAAAAAAAATCGTTTAAATTTATTTTCCTTTTGACTAAAATATTACAATCCTGAAATTCCATGTAATCATAAAATATAAAATCGCACAAAATGCGCCCAATAAATCCAAACAATCAAACGTAAACATTTCAGTTAGTTATTGTTGGGATAAAATTGTAACTGAAATTTATTTAATTATTTTTATGTATAAACAAATATTCAAAAAATGTTTATATGTGGGGTAATAAATAAATTGGTATAGGCGATAACCATAAAAATAGTATAATTATGTTGTTATGACAATATCTCATGTCAACGGGGTGCAAGCAAAATTCCTATATTTACGACTTAATTCAGTCGTTTATGGGCGTAAGTAAGGAAAGGCATCGTCTCCCTGGGGATAATAACCCCGATGGCGAAGGCGAAACCAGTTTTTAGCTCCCAGAGAGGGTTGAAAAAGTCGATATACTTCCCGGTCAGATGCCCTACATCCTGAAATATATATATAACAGGTTAAATGGTAAGGGCATCCCTCCGGGGACACGCTAATAATGAAAGTTTTTCGAGCCCTTTATCTCCCACAACGTCCCCGACATCTCGGTATGTTAGGATCGGCACGAAGAGGAATTAAGAAAGGCGTCTTCCCTCTCCCTTTGGCTCTTCGAGGCGGAAATAATGAAGTGCATCCTTGAGTTAGTGGATCCGGATTTTATACGTCCCAGTCTCTCCAATTAAGATGGAGCGACTTCTTTTATTCATTGTATGAATTTGGGGAGTGGTAAAAAAGAATAAATTTGGATAATTAATTAATTAATCAGGAAACAATATCTTCGATCTAGCTTAAACGTGCAGTAATCAATCAAAATCGGTGGGCGCAGATGTCCAGGACAGAACAATCAACAAACCGGGCGGTGTTGACTCAATAATTAGGGCAACTCGGGTCGCGGTTTGATTGGCACTTACGTCCGTTAAGCTCCAGGAATTATTTCCTGTTTAATCCCGTATACAGATGCAAATTTAAACAGAATAAATTGCAACACCAAAAAAAAATCTTGTTGCAGAATGGAAATATAATAAGCATGCTGTAACGACCCAAGCTTAAAGGGTACCGCCCTAATGACACTTAAAGATTATTTAATACACCCTTGGGACGAGGTTAAACATAAACAAAAAAGGAACTTGGATCAATAAGGATGTTCAAAATAAATTAGATCTAACCAAGTTATAACAGCTCGACGGTACGTTCATGACGTCACACTTTAACTTAGCAAATGCTTAATTTATTCTATTCGTGTTTTGTAATGTTGTTAGTTTGAGACTTAATAAGGTTCGTAGTATAAAAGAAAAATCTTGATCGAGTTTAGCTGTGCTAATTAAAACGCTATCAAATACACTCGCCTTTGGATCAATTTTAGCAAAATATGCAATCCCCCCATTCCAGGGGAATAGTGGTACTTGAGAGTACCGTCAAGCATTAAAATATATTTTAGTGATGTTGCAGTATACAATACCTTTTATTGCTAATATAGGAATAATACATTTTTTATTACGTTAGAAAATAAATAACACTTGCTTTAGCTAAATCACATTATGATACTCAGAAAAGCAGTTCTTTCTTTCATTACAACATAAATAAACATTGCACGCAGTACATTTTGAGTGGGGTTTAGCTTTGGCAGAACAATTTCCACAACTTCCTCTTTCTTTTGAACTTGCGCTACGACATTTTCGTAGACGCAGTAGAATATTGAGAAAAAACATATTGTGCAAAAACTAACATTTTCCCATAATCTAAGTGTCAAAAAAGATACTAATTCAAAAATTCCTAGAAGCCGTGTTTATTGAAATTAAGAAATGAAACTTATTTTAAATTGAAGCTTAAAGCTTTCTGTTTAAATCGACATATAATAATCGTTGAGTTGGATTGGAAAAATATTGAAAAAAAAAATTTTGAAACAAAACTTACATTTTCGTATAACCTAAAAGTGTCAAAAAAGATGATAAATTAAAAATTCCTGGAAGTCGTATTTATTGAAATTAAGTAATGAGACTTATTCTAAATAAAAGCTCAAAGCTTTCTCTTTAAAATGATGTATAATAATTGTTGGGTTGAATTGGAAAAATATTGAAAAAAAGATTTTTTGAAATAATACTTACATTTTCGTATTACCTAAAAGTATTAAAAAAGATGATAAATTAAAAATTCCTGGAAGCCGTATTTATTGAAATTAAATAATAAGACTTATTTTAAATTAAAGCTCAAAGCTTTCTCTTTAAAATTATGTGTAATAATCGTTGGGTTAAATTGGAAAAATAAGAAAAAAAAAATTTTTGAAACAAAACTTACATTTTCGTACAATCTAAAAGTGTCAAAAAAGATGATAAATTAAAAATTCTTGGAAGCCGTATTTATTGAAATTAAGGAATGAGACTTATCCTAAATTAAAGCTCAAAGCTTTCTCTTTAAAATGATGTATAATAATTGTTGGGTTGGATTGGAAAAATATAAAAAAAAAA